CCTTTTCCTTCCTCTCTTCAGCTCAGCTATGATAGGGCTTTTCAGTGGAGCCCTGTACCTGGTCTGCGGGTAGATTCCAAGCTTACCTGGCTGGTTGGCTTTCCACCTGGGTGGGGCCTCATTCAGAAACACTTTTTAAACTGTGAATTTCTGTGCTGCAACTAAGCAAGACAGACAGCAGCGTGTGGGTTTCTCAGCACTGCTGACACTGGGGCTGGCTAGCCTTAACCCATGAGATAGTTGTGACAACCTCGTTGTCTGGGTCTCAGCGAGGCTCAGCTAGGGCAGACTACACTGTCTCCCGGGGAGGGCACTGGCCTCAGTGCTCTGTCAATTCCTCACCGGGTGACATTGAGGAAAACAGCCTTCGTAAGCTCAGTTTCCTCCTCTGAAACTGAGGATAATGACAGGGTGGCACAGGACTGCCGCAAATATGAAATTTGCCCAGTTTGCCATGCACTCTTCAAATTTAAGGTACATGTTATTTTAAAAAGACCTATTGTTTGAGAATCCATAAAATGCCAGATGGAGAGTTGGCTTGGGCCACTCCAACAGCTGGATTTTTCTTTGGGTATAATAATGACGGGAGTTTTATTTGTGAAGCTTTCACATTTAATTTCTCCTGATTTTTCCATTGTGGACTACGAGGAAGGGTGGGGAATACCGAAGTGAGCATGATCTCTGTTCAAAGTTAAGACTTGCTGGACAGTGAAAGGACCTCTTGAGAGAGTGAATGGAAGCCTTGCCTCACTGTGCAAAGCGGGAGAGATTTTACAGCTCTTTATCAACCCTTTCACTAATTGAGCCCTTATCCGGTGCATCGCCAGTCTTAGCAGATTCTTCCTACTGAGGAATGTTTCATCAGCCAATTTAAATAGGAAAATAGATTTTGTTTAAATGTGCTGGGACCACATCCCAGGAATAAAGACTGTCATCTGGCCTTCCAAAGTTTTCTCCAAGAGATCTGTCCTACCCCATGGGCTTTCAAAAACAAAACAAACCCAAACAACAGTAGCAGCAACCTCAAAACCCAAAGGATCTAACCCTTGACCTCCCTCCTGGAGCAGAGGCTGGCTTGTCACCATGTTCAGCTCAAGTAAATACAGATTCTCTCTGAGGCCTGGAGTGGCTACTCTCACCCCTGTCCGGGTCTGCAAAGCCCCGAGCAGCCCAGCCGCTGGGAGCACCTCCGGCCAGTGCTTCTCCCTAGAGACACCCACACTCCGACCCATCACCGCCAGCCACCCTTCCTGCTCCCGCCCTGCTTCTTTTCCACCTGGTGGATGTGGGCACATCTTCAGAGCCCCCGAGGTCTTCCCCTGCCCTGCGAGTCACTCCACCTCCTGGACCCACAGGGACGCACTCCCACGTGTCCATACTTGCTGTGTGCCGGCAGCTGTTCTGCCCATTGTCCCTGGAGCCTGTGCCCAGGCCACAGCAGGCTGAGCTCCATCCCTCACTCCTGTTGTGAAGTGCAGCCACCTGCCCTGTGATCCTGAGTCCTGCTGTGCCCTAAGTACGGGACAGCAGTCCTCACCTGCAGAGAGCTTTGACCTCCTCCCGTGGCACTCAGCAGGCTGAAGAGCTCATTACTCGATTTACATGCTTGTTTGGCAGGGAGCCCGCAGTCTGCAGGCCCCATGTGTCTGTGGGCTTAGCATCCACTATTTGCAAGGATGAGCAGAATCTCCAGATGACAATCTCACGGGACAACATGGGGCTCTGCCCCTGGAGCAGCTGAGCTCATCTGAAAACCAAGGAGGAGCCTTTAGGTGGCCATGGGGGTGGGGACATCACAGTCACAGCCCCATACCAGTCTCACCTAGAGCATCTGTGGCCAAGGAGAGGCACAAAGTGATCTCTAGACAGGACATGGGACAGCTGCATGTTCTGAGTGGTCAGCCTTAGCTCGGGTTCTGAACGGATACCTATTGGTTTATTGGCAAATTGGGTCAACAGATGTCAACACCCATGGCATCTAATGTAGGTGGACTTTGAGCAGGGAAAGGGGGAAACACAAAAATGTCCTCAGAGGGGTGGCATTTTAGCCAGACCACTACGGGCCTCTAAGAGACTCTGTCAAACCTCGGGGCAAGGCCTTGCAGCCAGGCCAGGGGCTCTGAAAAGGCACGTGACCGCTTTACATTATACCCAGGGAGCGGGAGCAGGCATTGGCATAAGGAAAGATTGCTCACCGATCCTTTTACACAAGAGGCTGCTGAGTGTGAGGCGGCCTCCAGCATCTGCAGAGGGCCAGGGCAGCTGGTCCCAGCTTAGGACAGGCTGGTCCTGCTGTCAGTGGGGCCTTGTCCCTAGGAAGCTATGTGCCTGTGTGAGGCATCTCAGGCAGCCACCAACAGTACAGTGACCGATGGATGTGGCCTCCCCCCAGGTTCTCCTCTGGACCCACTGTAGTTCCCTGGGGATAGCTGGGGCACCTGGCCAAGTGGAGACACCTGGTCAAGTAAGTTGGGAGACCTGCTGAAATTGGGAGCACCTGGTAAGTTGGGGACACCTGAGGAAATGAGAATACCTGGTGAAGTCTAGAGACCTGATGCAGTGGGGACGCCTGCTGGGATGGGAACACATAGTGTGGTGGGGAAATGTGTTGAGGTGGTGACACCTGGCGTGGTAGGGCCACCTGGTAAGGTGGGACACCTGGTATGGTGGGGACAGCTGGTGGGGTGGGAATATGTATTGAGGTGGACACCTGGTGTTGTGGGGACACCTGGTATGGTGGGGATATGTGTTGATGTGGGGAAACCTGGAATGGTGGGACACCTGGTGAGGTGGGGACATCTGCTGTGGTGGGACACCTGGTGAGGCAGGGACATGTGGTAAGGTGGACACCTAGTGAAGTTGGGGACACTGAAGGAGGGACAGGAAGAAGACTTGAAGGAGGTGGAGACAGGTTCACCACGGACATCTCTTTGCCAAGATATCATCTTCCATGAATGTTACCTCAGGCCTCTTCACCCTTCCCCCCAAATTGCTCCCCCCACCTGCTGCCAAAGACAGGCTGCAAAATATAAACCAAAGTACCTTTCAAGTCCCTAAGAAACTTGAACCACCAACAATGTGATCTGGGCCAAAATGTACTTTTTCTGGCTTCATAAAGAAACAGCTGAGGTGACAGTGTAACAGGAAGTCGAGGCGGTTAGGATCTCAACTTCACGATTGCCTGGGCGCAGGACTCGGGGAAGACTACTGTGTGCTCTGGGTCTGTGTGTTAATAACATGGTGGTAGGAAGGGGTTTTGTAAGGGTTAAAAGAGCTAGTGCAGAAGAGGAGCAAGGACGCAGGCCCCACTAGTGGCACCATGATACCTGATGAGGGGGTAGGCAAGGTCCCCACAGACGTGGCTTCTGCCCCTGCCTGCATCTGGCTGCTTGTGTGGTGCTGGGCGAATTGCTTTCTCTGAACTTCATTTCTCCCTGCTCCCTAATGGGGTTCTGGGAGGGTTACGTGAGAGGCTGCGTGCCAAGCACTGGTGCAGGGCCTGTGTGTGGCAGTACCTGGTCAACAGTGGGTCTAGCATCACTTGCAGTGCAGGTCTGGGGAGATGCATGTCACCCTGACACCCTTGGAGGATTGCCCTGCTGCACAGCAGTCACAACAGAGCCACTGAAGATGGCATTGAGCCATCAGCCGCCCCCCTGCCCCCCCGCCACCAGCCAGGCCAGTCACAAACTGGTCATGCACTGTGTCTGTCTATATCACGTGAGCTGCTAGGCCAAATGGCTTCATCCAGCCAGCCCTGATGCTTTGCACCTGGGAACATTCACACCAACATGGCGCCCTATGTTGTCTTGGTGCCTGATCCTAGAAAAAGACTCAGCAGAGCTTGAGAACTTACCAGGAGGGCTGAACCCCTATAAACTGGGGCTCTTCCATCTGGAAAGGGAGAGGCTAGAATAATGGGGGCTGTTGATCCTAGCAGGAGATAAAGACAGAGGCCCTGGCCGAGGGCAACTGTGATGGTGCTGATGGAGATAGTGGGCGAAGAGTTACAGACTGATTCAGCTTCTCCACCAAACCCAAAGACATGCAGCTTTGGGCGCCCGGCGCACTTAGGATGGACAACTTCAGGACAGAGAAAAGAAGCCTGTTTTACACGATGGCTCATGATACATAAAGCCTGAGAGGCTGGGCTGAAAGATGAAAAGATACACCTTGAGAGAGATGTGACTTGGGTTGGCCTGACAAGGACACCACTGGTAACCACGACCACCCCATCTGTGCTGTGCCTCATGCATTCCCCAGCAATGCTACAGAGTGGGCCTGCTGATTATCCTCTCCTAGAGACAAGGCTCAGAGAGGTGTAGATATTTTCCCAAGATCACACAGCTAGAAAGTAGCACAACTGGATTAAATCCAGGTTGGTTTGACCCAAAACGCATGCTCTCTATAGCCAGGTGATTGACTCGCACAGGGGTGAGAGGGGCATGTGTCATGCACTGGTGGCGTCTTCCATATTTCTCCTTAGAGCTAAGGTCTAAGAGTATGTTTTCAGACAAATGCTAGATGGATCTTCGATTTGGCCCAAGAAGATAGTGTTAATAATTTTCAGAATATTAAATATTCAAGGTCAAGGGGGAGAGTGAGGGAGCGGTGGTGAGGGAGAGATCAAACCTGAGGATTTTATTCTAGGGCAGCAGTTCCCAACCTTGGCTGCACATTGGAATCTCCAAGCTGCCTCCCCCACCAATCAAGTTGGGACACTTCTGGGGATGGGACCTAGGCACCAGGAATCTTTCAAGCACTATGGTTGAAACACTGTCCTAGAAAGAGGGGCTCTGTGTCCACTGAGGGGATGAGATGATGTTTGTTAACAGTGTGCAAGGTGGAAATTTAGATAGCCAGGGATGTGATTCTCGTCTTAGGAGGCCTCCTACTGTGTGAGCATCTCAGTCCTGGGTGGCTCTGCAGTTATTTAAACAAGTAAAAAGTATAAATGAAACCCAATGATGGCTACTAATCAGAAAGAAAAGTCTTAAGCATAAAAGCTAAAAGATAAATTTTAAGTAATGAACACTCGTAAAACAGCAATGAAATGGTATTAAAATGTCTGTGATCACTTATTTCTCAGCATTCGTCTGATAATTTAAGCAGCATGAAGCAAGGGTTGCACTTTAAAAAATGACAAGAAAATAGCTATTCATTTAGTCGACAGAGTAAGGCCCATCTCGTTTCTGGGATCACTAGCATCATTGTTATGACCAGGTTGGGCATCTGTGGGGGCAGGTATTTGAGAAGCACCCCCCTGTGACTTCACAGCTCCATTGCCTCAGTTCCTGGAGAAATGCTGGGCTCATTCTTGAGGAGTCTTGGGAGGGGCTGGGGCCTGCCTGCCCATCCTAATCAAAGAGGTCTCGGACTACCTATTGTTGCAGGGTAGCTACTGAGTTTGGACACATTCTGAGAAGTGTGAAGGAATGAAGTGTGGCTTGGGGACAGACCCCCCACTCTTCTGGCTCTGCTTCTCAGGGCTGGACCCATCTGCAACCAGGGACAGCTGGGGGTCCCTCCAGCAGTTGTTCTCTCTGCTTTCTCAGCCCACTCTCTTCTTGCAGGGAAGGTGTATAGATTGGGAGACACAGGAGCCAAGCAGGGCCACAGACAGAGTGACGTGTCCCCTGCCTCTGCCGATTGCACCGTATTCCATAAAAAATAAACACTTTGTACTGTTTGTATATTGCTAATGCAGTGGCATTCTGCACAGAGAGCTGCATCGTCATTAATCCACCAGAATCCATGCAGAGACAGCCTCATGGGTCTGGATCTTTGGGGCTCCCGTTTGGAAGGATTAGCCATGCCCATCTGTCTGGTGCTCTACACAGTGCTGTGAAAATGAAATTAAAGGGTAAAAACAAAAGAAATCCATGGGTAGAAAATTCCAGGGCTTCATGGAGTGGCTTGGCGGTCGTTTGTACTGTACAGCGTCATGCAGCCGTGCCTGCCCCGGCCTGCCCTCCTGCTCCACGCCTCCATGACGGGACCTGGCCCCGGGCTCCTCCCCGCCGCCCCCAGGAGCTCATAGGTGGTTGTTCTTGGAGAGGTAGGCGATGAGGGCAACGGCCACGCCCACGTAGATGCCGGTTCCGATGGTGATGGACAGCACGGCCAGGAACAGGGCCCGCCGGGAGCTGGTGCTGGCCTGGTGGAAGTCCCCCTTGGCCACCGCTTTGTTCGTCTGCAGAGTTGGGGAAGAAAAAGGAAGTCAAGGTGAGCAAGTCAAACAGCAAATGAAGGGCTGGTCTGTGGCTCCTGACTCCACCGAGAGGACCGGCCCACGTGGGACACCGCCCTGGCCCCCCTCTGTGACCTGGGCGTTCTCTAGCTGGCAAGGGAAGAGGGCGAAGCTGGTGCTGATTGCTGCTCCGCGCACTGCAAGGCAGGCCAAGCCTTCCTTCTATTTGGCCCCAATGGAATAAGCAAGGCTGGGAGCAGCTGGTACCATCAAGGTGGGGCCTGGGGTCCCCGGCACCAGTACTCAGGGGATGGGTCAGATATTACACCTCCACTGCCACTCTTTCTACCAAGAATGGCATTCTTTTTCTTTTTCTTTTTTTATTGGAATAACACCTAATTTTCTAAAACATGTCCACACTTACCTTGTTAAATCTCTGTGACCCAGTGAGAATTATAGTTCTCAATTCCCACAGAGGAAACTGGCATAAGATGATTAAATCAATTGTGGGATCCTTGAGACTTTACTCTTCAGCTGGCTGGCCATCAGAGGGCCACTGGATCATTCATTTCCTGACTGTCCCCAGTTCTGCCATAGCTGGAGTTGGTAAAATTCATCCATCAATAAAATAATTTGCTATAAGAGCAGTCCCTTTATTTCTGAGTGCTCGATGACATGATGAGGTGTTGCTTTAATGAGGCTCATGTGTCTTGGAGTCATGAAGTGGATAGGAACGTGGAAGTTTTGGATGTTGGATCCAATTTGGTGTTTTGAGACAGACTCCATACACCCATCCTCAACCCCTTCCTCCATTGTCTGTCTCCACAACTGAGGTTAGAAATGTTGCATCTTCCCACCTCCCCTGTAGCTGGGCACAGCACGAGGAGTGGGGAGATCTCAGCGGACATCTCCTGGGGGATTCTGTGAAGGCTTTTGTTCTCCTGATAAGACCTGGGATGCCGAGGTATGGCACAGCCCTGCTCCTCCATCTTGCCTGGGGCCCTGGGGGAAGCTGAGAGAAGAACTCGGAAGCCGGTGCTGATCCTGCAGAACCTCTGATCCTACAACAGAGTCTTCCCATCCTAAGTTTGCTGTGTGAGGAAAATAAACGTTTATCCATCAGGCCACAGGCTGTTGAGTGGGTGGCTCCTTGCTGTCACATACATCCTTGACGCTGGGAGTGGGGACTGCTGTGCAATCCAGCCATAACCCTCATGAGGGGATGCCTGAATAAAACGGCTGGATTGAGGTGGGGTGGGATGCAGCAAGTGCGTGATGCTGAGACAGCAAATTCCAGGCCAGCCGGGGGCTCCCTGTGGTCAGGGCAGAGCCTGCTTCTCCTGCAGAATGTCCTAACTCGCTCTCACAGGCCACCTTCAGGACACCAGAATGTCCTAACCTGAGTCTCACCTGAGCCTATGTCCACACGTCATCAGTTATATTTCTATGTTTTAGAGGCAGCTATGGGAGTCAGCATGGGGTTCACTCAAACTGAAAACCACCAGCTCCAAGACAGCTCCCGGAATGAACATTCCTTTCCCACAGCCTCCCAGCCCTGGTTTCATGAGATCTGGAGACCCGCGATGTGTCGAGAAGGACTGCGGTCTGCTGCTCAGCCGCCTTTCACCCCTATCTCTGGATCTGGAAGGTTAGTTTTTATTTTTTCATCCTTCAAGTTTCTGACTTGGAACGGAGCTTGGGAGTGCATCAGAGACAGTTTTTGATGAAGCAGAGCTAAGGGAATGCAAAATGAGGCGCCTCCTAGGACAGTAGTAATTAATTGTCATAATTAGCTGAGCTTCATTTCATCCAGCAGCACCCTCAGCCTTACGTCCTGTAACATAATTTACTGTAATTGCCCCTCTTAGCGTCAACTCCAATAGCCATCGTCCATTAGAATCGTGGCTCTGCTGCTGTCACTGCCACCACCACCATCCTCAGTGCCATCTGCATGTGCTGCGTGGGAGGAGCAGAGGTAAGCGGGGAGGAAGGCAGAGGCCACTGTGGTTGGCCTTGACCAACAGTTGCTTTCTCTGCTCTGTTGTGAGTTCCACGGGGCAGAGCACACATCTTCCTTATCCACTGTGGCCTCCCTGCAGCCTGGGCTTGCACCCTGAGGGGATGGCAGAAACTCACTCACTGTTTAACGAATGGCCTAGCGAGACAGCTCTGGAAGATCACCTCCCTTCCATGCCCCCAGCGATGACGGCCCTCAATGCATGCTCTTGGTTTCTTGGTGGCATTTGGGAGTGGCACCAGGCTGGTCTGTGGCCTGTGCTTTGGCCCAGCTCTGCAGGTTCTGAGCACACACAGTGCCAGAACCCTCATGCTCAAAGCCCGAGTGTCTACTTGAGAATCACAGTGGCTCCTTTATTCTCATACACGCTGTGAGAGCTCAGTCTGCATTTTTATGTTTGGTTCTAGGACAACTGTTCCAAGGAGAGACCCAGGGAACATTTTATGGTAGGGGCACTATCGGATGAGATATGTCAAAAACAGAAAGCAGATAAAGACTTCTCAAGTCGGCTGCTTTTCAGCGGTGTTACTCAGCAGCTGCATCTCACAGAAGCAGGGAGTTCCCAGGGTTCAGGCTCCATGAGGCAGAGACGCCCCTGACAATATACAACATAGATGCCGTGATTTAACGAAGGTGACTCTCTGACATGAGCCGTTGCTTCCAGAAAACGCACAGCCGTGGCTGCAAAACAGTGTGCTCTTCCCTTTGAGAGGTGCCAACTGGAAAAACGGTTCCATCTTGACAACTTCCAGACTGAAGCTTCAGGCTCTGTGACAAGGCTTTTCGCTATGCATGAGGGCAGGGGGGTTCTGGACATGGGTACATAGGTCTCTGAACCCCTTAACCTGAGGGCCAGCCTTGTGTGTAAGTGTTTTTATGAGAGGGCCAGTCAGCCAAGCTCACTGGGATCCCAAAGGAGTCCACCACATTCCCAGCGCTCCTGCCAGCTGCATGAGGGGAGGTGTATTAGTCCCTTTCTGTTATATAATGGGAAATTTATAAAGACACAAAATCTATTTCTTATACTTTTGGAGGCTGGGAAGTCCGTGGTCCAGAAGGTATCTGGTGAGGGCCTTCACCTAGGCGCAAACTCTCTGCATAGTCCTGTGGCAATGCAGGGTATCACATGGCAAGGATGGCAAGAGCTCTCTTGTGCTCCATATAAAGCCACCAGTGCATGCCTGCGACAACCCATTATGCCATGAATGGATTAATCCATTCATGAGGGCACACTCCTCACATCCAGTCACTTCTCAAAGGCCCCACCTTTCAACACTGCATCATCTGATTTCCCACCCTCTGAACACTGTTACACTGGGGATCCAGCTGCCAACACATGAACTTTTGGGGGACAAGTTTGATCCATGGCAGGAGGGAAAGGAGGAGAAAAGGCACAGAGGAACAGAACCAACTGGCAGCTGCTCAGGACAGGAGGACACCACAGGAGCTTCCTGGCGGGAAGATGCAGATATCATTTGCTTGCCCTAGTCAGGAACCTAGACTTGTCTGCATCCTGGTCCTTCTGTGCAACTCAGGAGCACAAGTGAGTGTTTAGTGGCATGCTGAGAAGCCTGTCCTGGGTGCCCATCTCCGACGGCTTTGCAGCAGGGGTTCTTAAACCTGGGAGCACACTGGAATCACTTGGGGGGCTCTGAAACTGATGCTGGGTCACCTCCTCCTAGGTAGTTCCAATGTGCAGGCAAGGTTGAGACACGGTGGGCCAAATGCTTGGGTTCGTCCAAGACTGGTCAGGCCACCCTGCAGTGCCCCAACAGTCCTTTCAAAGACTGCCCTGGTCAGGAAACTCCACAGTATTCTGACAGGTCCTCCCAAAGCCAACCCTGGTCACACCACCCTGCAGTGCCCTGAAAGTCCTCCCAAGGCCCACCCTGGTCACACCACCCTACAGGGACAGCTGTGGTTCCCATCTTCTGTAGTATGGCACGTCCAGCCATCTGACCCTGAGCCCTATACCTGCCCAGCCTCATCTCCAAGCCCCTCCATCACCGGGTCACAGCAGGCTCAGCTGAGGCTTTCCAAGTGGGGCTGTGTGAGACTTTACTTCATCAACACTCTGCTACAGCACAAGGATGGCAGGCATTGGGCACTGCTGGGATGAGGGCGTCTGAGTCCACTGGGGCCCATTCTAGGTGCTTGTGCCATGAAGTGAGTCCTCATGAAGCCCTCAGCACCATGCTGGGCAGGAGCAAGCCTCAGCCACACGGCCCTGCACTGCTGCCTGCCGTTTGCCATCCAGACCCACATTCCTCCTGCCTCCACCTGCCCGCAGCCTGGGAGGCTGGTCCGGACTCTGTGGACTGGCTCCCTGGCATTGCCCTTGAGTGCTGCCTGGGTGGCCCTGGTGGAGATTGGAGGGGGTTGGGGGTGGGTCTTCAGCCTCTGGCTCACCACCTGGGAGGGCCCCTAGGCCTAACTGTCTCCCAACTGGAGGCTCTTCTCAAGCCACCTTCTCCACGCAACCCAGTCCTTCGTTCTCATAGACTCCCACCTGCTCCTTCCTGGCCTCGGGAGGGATCAGCTCACAGGCTTCTATCCCCTAGCCACTGCACTGTCCCTCGGAGCTCCTGCATCATCACTGCAAATAAACCTCCTCAAATGACCTGACTGAAGCCAGTCAACCGTCTCCTGGCTGAGCGGCCATAATTCTGCATGATATAGATGCTTGCACCCTGTGAGAACTGGCCACCTTCTTGCAGCAGGGTCCTGAGGACCTGGTGCCCAGGCACCCCTGGGGCCACCTGACCTGCAGGCTGTCTGTTGCCTGGGACAGGCCCGCAGGGATCCAGCCCCAACCTGGACAGCCTCCTTCTCACTTCACACATGCGATGTGATGTGTTCATAGTCTGCTGCTGATGCCATCCCCAACCTTGTGGCTGAGGACAAGAACACTCACCGTGTCTCACAGCTTCTGAGACTCAGGGATCCGGGAGCACTTCGGGGGTGGCTCTGACCTGGAGTCTGGGCT